CACCAAGACGTAATGCAACGAGGCTTGCCAGCCTGGAGCGAACCAACTGCAGCCCGGCTGGGACGCAAGCGGACCCCACCAGCAATGTTTGGAAGCAAAACCCACGGTATGCAACCCGACGCCAGTTGCACGATACGGCCCCTGCCGTGGACTTGCGTAATGGCTGTGTAAACCAAACACATGCTTACGGCGAAATTCCAGCACACCCTCTGCATAAAGTCTTAGGTGTGAAGCCGCACTGCAGGCTGGGTATTTTTCTCCACATTTAAAGCAGTTCTCAGAGTTGGACAAAGCCTCACGCTGTAAAAACAAATATCCAGGCATGCACTGTAGCTATGCACGTGCGTATCACTTCCGAAGCGAAGCGTATGAAAAACAACAGACTTGAAACTTTCGGCGACACTTAGAAGCCAGGAGCGCTCGAACTCTTCCCGCATTTTGATCGGATTTACAGGCTTCTGTTATGTGTAGTTCGTACGCTTATGTAGCTTCTTTTGCTCCACCCGGACACGTAGCCAATTCCAGTCAGTAGAAGACGACTTTTCCAAAATTGTTAATTTGACCCATTTCCCGGCGAAATCGCCTAGCATCTAGTGTTAACCTGTTGGCTCAGGGGGCGGGGAGGGGCACGGCCCCTTGGCCCTCCTCTTGGCTATGTCCCTGTGCCAGTGTTAGGTAGTGTAGTTTCGATTTTGTTATTGTTTCAGCATTATGGAACATCCACTTGAACAAGTACCTTGTGGGCCCATGCAACATTTTGACTGGCCTTTACACAGAGGTCGTTACGAGGTTACACCTTACACACCTTTACAGTGTTTTTGCCTTGCGTCATGCGCGACAGTTTTTGGGTATTGTTGGACGCCATGGGCATATTCCGTCAAATGGCTACTCCCATGCAATGCTGCTAAATGTAGCACTGGACATCTAGGCGCCCCAAACCCTCGTCCCGTGTACCGCGATCGGAGCACTTCACTGTTGCAGATCTCCAACGAGAATGGCCCGACGTTCACTGTGGACGGGGCACCCGAAGTTCCCCACGCAGGCAGGGGCTGTAGTCTGCATGATAAACCAGGCATTGGGGGGGGGGGGGGGGGGGGGCACGACACGCTCACTCGAGCACCAGGACAGCGAGGTGCTGGTGCTGCAGTTGCGACCCTCAGCCGCTGCCCCCTGGGTGGCGCGCTGCCGGGTACTGCCCTAGCGGTGGTTGGCTGGCGCCTGCTCGTCGTTGCCGCTCTAGGACTTAACGACGCACTCCATCCTAAGGCTATATGGGGTCGCCTGCCTCTCATCCTGGCAACAAGGGCGGGCACCGCGAAGAATCGAGCCCCATACCTCTAGTTTCCCAGACATGTAGTGGTGAACACAGAAGCGCTAACCACTTCACTAACGTCACACCTCATCGTCCCGCTTGTTCTCTGGCTGGCGCGCTATCGGGTGCTGCCCTAGCGGTATTTGGCTGGCGCCTGTTCGCCCCAGCCAGCAGCGGCCAGAGCGTGGCCGCTCGGCGCGCCACAGCACCGTCAGGGCGATGCGCCCAAGCACCGTCAGGGCGATGCATTGACGTCTTTTTGAGTGAGGCGTGTACGAGTGCCGCGTTGCCCACGTCCCGACTTCCTTCGGCGAACTGGTACTCGCACTCGCAGATGTTATGTCATGCGATGCAATGCTGGATCTATGAAAGGCAACAAATCAACGTCACATCTACCAGCTCACTTCATTTGTCCCATTTTTGTTGTTGTTATTGACTAGTAAATGAGCTATGCCATCCAATACTGCACCAGCCAAATGCAGTCAGAGAGAAAAGACAACTTTGCTTCTACCATGACACCCTGGCTACAGAACCAGGAACTTGTGAGTCGGTGAAGCAACCAGCAGCCTGACTTATCACATATTTGACATCTCACACACAAGGGTGTGGGAACTGGTGCTAAGTGAAGTAAATATAGGTGCCCTTGTGGTCAATGACCGGAGTATGCCAGTGTGTGTGCGTGTACATGCGCGAATACCTATGTGTATGCATCTGTATCTGTGAGTGAATAAAGATGCTACACCACTACTGTGTTGCATATTTTAAGATACAGCCCTCTAGGTCATTACATATCATGCATTTATAGACTGTTTGATATCCATGGCAACATATTTTTAACAACCTAAGACCAGAGATAAAAACGCAGGTGTTCGGTTAAGTGTGCCTTAAGCATTCAAGGGACAGAAAGTTGATCACAAGGAGCTGGGATGACAAAATTTTACAATTTTGTTACCGCACGTCCTCGATAGCAATTGTTCTGAAACCAATACTTGTAAGGTGTTCTGGCAAATTCACTTGTCTTTTCATTGCAGCGGGCTGCAACCACAACAATTCTGGCTCTGCTACCAAGGGAAAGACACACACCCATTCAGAGACAAAATTGTGGCTCCTCAGACACCCATCAAACTTAACCAGAGCTCAGCTAGCCCCCCCCCCCCCCCCAGGCAAGAAGCACTTTAAAGGTCTTCCTTTTACAAAGGCGTACAGTGGTTATAGGAAGTTGCGATGAGGGCCCGGCAGCCATAGCTGTGGATGCATATGTTATAGTGCATGACATGCACATTTGCAGATGCACCATGACATACAGATGGATGACATATGTTCCCAGATCTAAGATAAAGTTTCTTTTTCATATCATAAGGAAAACCAAAGCTGTTTAGAAGTACTTCCTTCTATAAGTGAAGTTGACCCCTATCTAATCTGATGATCAGCAAGGACCCAGGTGTGCCTCTTTCTCCTGGCAGTGGGAACAGAGTTGCTCCAGTTGAACTTGCAGCAGGTGGTAGACAACTGGATTTACCAGAAGCATTTCAGACATTGGTCTTTGAACATTTGTGATCAAGGGCCTGCAGCAAGAAAAGAAGAGGCTTAGATACTCAGCATCAACTTACCCCATCAGCTTTTTGTCCCCCAAATGCTCAAAACATGCCTATCTCAATATTTGATGCTTGATCCCTAGCCTTATACTGTGAGATTTCTGTTCTCATGATTCTTCAACATCAGGCATGCCATGGCCCATGGGGTCCCTAGCTTCCAAGTGTAACATGACAGTGGTGTAACATCCTTATGCTAGACACATAGACACAAACCTCCTAAAGTGCAAGCAGATGCAGACACACCAAAAGTTGGTGTTATGGGATATCTCAGGCACAAGGTCAGTTACAATGAAGCAGAGATATCAGCTGCCTCATGTGGATTGCTGTCACAATGTGCAATGTCAAAAAGTGAAATGGTTTTCATTTAAGTGTTGTGTGTTTCATTTCACTGCAAACATAACAGCCTGAAATACTCCCATTTTTAAACAGATATACCAAAGAACAGAAATATGCCTACTCTGGCCACCACCTAAACAAGTTTTTTCTGACATACCAAACATACTGGCTGGGGAGCAGCTCACGCCACATTCTGACCAACTAAGGAGTTCAAAAAAAAGCATTGATAGGCTCCAGCTAGAAATTTTAGTTGTGAGTTCTGGGCTACCCTGCACAACAATGTAACTCATAACAGACCTCTATTGACAAATCAAAAATTGTAGTAGTCAAATAAATTTAGCATGAATTACTCTGATGCATATACATTTAATAAACACTCAGTTATATACCTCCTATGAGCCACACAATGTATTTAAAATAAAATCAGATATGCTGCACCCTGAAATGTATAATGTGGAAGCAATTCCTTTGGCATCTTTTATCCAAAATACTTAGCACAGACATGAGTCATTGTTAGTGCATTAATAGCTTTCCTTGCTAGCAAATACCAGGTCAACTACTCAAACACCATGTCCATTGTGCCCTGCTGTGCTTACCTTCTAGACGCCATCTTCTAAAGCTTGCTGATTCCGCCACAATGACTGGGTATGTGAGTCTTGGACAACAAGCAACTTCAGTAGATGTTTGTAAACTTGCTCTTGAAGGACGCTTCAAAATCAATGTGGGATTTCAATAACTGGGTTCACAACTCTTTAGCCAAGGGTTTCAAACATGCAGAGGGCATGCAACTCCTTCACGCTTCAACTCAGTTTTCAAAAACAATCTTCATGGGCAATCATGAAACCAGAGGGCCAACAACCTGGGAATTACCATCCAGCATTAATGATAAATTGCTTGATCCAACTATCAAGACAAGCTCCTCCCTTTGTTCATGGAATTTCCACTGCCTCCTGCAACACGAACAGTGTGCACGGTGGCTCCCTTAGGCTTCGGGACAGATCCAAACCAAGTAGTTTTGGGATTGCGGAAGGGGTCGACGTCTCACGCTCGCAACCGTCCAATGATACCAAAGTCTGACGGCTCTCTCCGCCAGCGCACAAATATCCGAAGTTCCCACCACTTTCGCAGTGCCCCTCCTCCAGTATCTACCTATCAATACGCCCACGACCCTCCCCACTGCACATCGGCTCACCCACTCCCCGTCGTCATCGCCGTAGTACGAGTCGCAGCGTTTAGTAGCTCGGGTAAAATATTGCTGTCCTACAGATAAAACAGATGGCGCCACGGGATGCAGCAATCACGCCCACATCACTCTGTTCGCAGCGCAACACTAAGCTAAACAGTCTGTGACGTCAGTGTCCACGGCCTTTAGTTTGTTTTGTGGTGTTTGTACGATTATCATTTCAATTAGAAGAGGTAAAACATTTTGGAATGCCTACAGCTAGTAGCCTCACTACTCAATAACTACTTTGAAGTTTGACAGTCCGAACCTTAAGTTGTGAGATCCAGAATCACGGAGCTGCTATAATCCCTTAGAAGTAAAACGTTTTGTTCTGCGCAAACTTTATTCTTAAGAACAAAAAATTGCTGCAACTATTCACATGTCACTTAATGGAATGCGTACTTTAGGAAGTATTCTTCAATCATCCTGATCTCGGTTACCAATGACGTCAGATACCAGGTTCAGCAAAATATTTTATCACGCCCGAAAACAGGTGCATTTTTATCAGATTGCACAGATTGCATTGCCCGAAAACTCTTGGAGTTGTTCGCAGCAAATCAGGCTTAAGTCGGGTGAGTCGTGAGTCGGGCACCGGGTGCACTGTATTTGTCCATGTCAATTCCTTGTGGAAAAGGGTTTTCTAGTTGTGACTCAAGGATGGAAAATTACAAGTCTCGCGAGACGTTTTGATGCTGATGTTGAGCAATTTCTGCTTTCCGGTGATATTTCGTGTTTTTTGTTGCTAAGGTGGGTACTGAGGTCGGTGCTTGGACTGCACATAATGAGTGCAAACTGCAAGTAGGCGAGGATTGGGCCGGTGGTGCCGCATTTACGACGGTGAGTGGTTATATATATATATATATATATATATATATATATATATATATATATCGTGGAGTGATCATTATCCGTCGTTGAAGCCGCGGATTGCTCGTCCTTGGTCAGTTTTTCAGCTGAACCCCCAAGCTTCGTGCATATTTAAGGATGGCTCTGCATTGGGGATGGGAAGTAAGTAACAGTAGAAGGCTGCTTTATTTGGTGCAGGTTTCCCATCTAGCTGACATAGGCGGTGTGAATTTACTGGATTAGTGCAAAGAAAGAAATGTCGCTCAGATTTTCACTAACGGGGCTGGCAAATTGACAAAACCGCAGATTTTCATGCCTGCAAGATGAATTTGCAAGGAAAGTTTTGTTCCACTTTTTAAATCATTTTTCTGTCCACTGTCCTGCTCACCATTTGATTATTATATGGTCGTCCCTATCCTTCTACCAGCATTTGATTGTGCTGGCTGAAAGGCAAAAATCACTGATGTTTTCCCAAGGTGTTGTGTGACAACTGCAACAGAAAGACGAGACAGTTCTGTTAGCTTTATTTGTCTTAAAATGAGCAGGAGGAAGGGGAGATAGATGGATCAATATTTTAGATGCATGTCTTTATCAAAACAACAATGGCATGCAGGCGTTTCACAAAGGCAAAGACATTTTATTTTTATGCAGGCATGTGGCCAAAATATTGACACATCAGTGCCTCCTTTCTCCTGATTATTCTAAGGCTAACAGCACTGTTTTACCTATGTGCCTAATACTGCTCACAAATGCAATGTACAACTTGCAACAAGATATTTACATTGGTAAAGGTACCTTGAGTACCTCAAGTATCTCAAGCACTCAGGGCCTTTTGCCTATGATGCTCTTAACAAGTACTTAAAATATACTGTGATTTTCCTTCAATGCTGTAATGACAGCATATAAATTTGACTGCCCAATCTTACCTTACCTTACCTTACCTTATGGTGATCAGGAATTGTAAAAGGCCACTAGGCCTGTAGGTCCCGGTCTTGTCAGGCTCCCGGTCCAGTAACCAAACAGTCTCAAATTATGGGAATATTCAGTGTGGGACATGTACATGGTGTCAGCCCAGTGCCCATCAAGCCTAGCCTTGAACTGTTCAACTGAGGTCGATGACACGACCAGGTGCGGAAGAGCGTTCCAGTCGTTGACAGTCCGCATGCTGAATGAGTTGCGACCGACGAGAGTCCTAGCTCGAGGTTTTCTGAGCTTCCATTGGTGTCCTCTCGTCACCTCCGAGTTGTGCCTTGTCAGGAACTCCTCTTCCGATAGCGACATGCCTCCATGAAATAGCTGGTACACTGTTTCCATGTCTCCCCTGCGATGACGATAGTACAGTGAGGGCGGCTGAAGGAGTCTGAGCCTCTCAGGGTATGGCTGGTGCCTAGCTTCATAGACAAGCCAGGTAGCTCGTCGCTGAACTCGTTCCAGCCGTTTCTGGTCCAGTTTGCCGAACGGGCCCCAGATAACGTTGCCATACTCTAAGTACGGACGTACCAAGATCTTAAAAAGCAATGGCAACGTGCGAGAAAGACGATTTGCAAGAAATGAAAATGTGAAAAAAGAAGAAAAAGAAATGTGAAAAAACGGCATCTTGCCTTAACACCTCTGCTTGAAGAAATTTAAATAATAATAATGATGTCAGCAAACCTTATAAGGACTACCTTACCTCTGTCCTACGCATGAGCCTGTGATTGCACCTAACAGCATTTTTGTGGACTTAGACATGATGGTATAGTCTGTCTCTGCATACTGAAAATGGACATTTTGAGCACAGCAGTGACATAGCCAGCATTTCAGTTCACATACAGATAAATCTGAGTGCTCAGAGTCTTGCGCATGAATGACACCAATTTTGACATATAAGTCACCAATGCTGTCAGGAATTATGATGTTGCCAAGGAAGTTTCAGTATAGTCAAAATCAAATATTTTTCATGCTAAAATAATTTGACAATTCAGTGCAAATTCAGTGACCTTAGTGATGCATGTGACTGCAAGGGTCACTGGTGAGGTTGGCACTGACATCCTACACAGTGGACATGTTTTTTTGGAGCCTGGCCCCTGGTCTTCTACATTATCTGCACCTATAGCTTAAAACATATGGCTTGGAGCTGTATAAATTGCATCAGGCTCATGGTGTGAGTACTCAAATTATTTATAAAAGGTATGTTTCAGTTATATTTATACACCATGATATTTTGTATAAATATCATAGTTGATACCAACCAACCAAACATTAATGCCACTACACCAACCAAACATTACTGCATTGGTATTGTCCCATCAGTATATTTAGCATTGGAGATAAAATTGTGTTGGTTTCTTGTTATCATTGGCATTGTCATTTGTGCACGCCAAAATTCATGTGATATAATCTGCGATGACTGACCGCTTCGCAAGGCTGCGCTGTGCAGCATGTGCTGCGGCTTGCGAGGTATGCTGTGTCACAGTCCAGACTAGTGTCATAACTCACAGTCACATCAGTTGTACACTTCATCATTGCCTGGCTGCGTGCAGGTCGGCTGCTCCGTCACTGGTGTCCTGTGTCTGCTGTCTGCTGGTCTCCTGACGGCGCGGCCGCGGCCCGTTCGTGGCGCAGGCGGCGATGGCGGCGCGCCCGCCGGGCTTCCCATCGCCGTCAGACGGCTCGCTGCCCGGCCAGCAGGCCCGCTTCGGCTCGGCCGGCGCCGCCCCACCCATGCGCAGCTACGGCTCGCCCGGATACGCGGTGAGCGGTGATTGATGGCCACGTGCGGGCCGCACCCTGGCCGGCCCAGGAACGACCCGCCCTCATGGGGTACCCGCGTGACTGTCGAGGCAGGCGATCTCCCGCTGGGATGCGATGAAAAAGGTGTAGAGTTAAGTTCGGGCATGCAAATCGTGCGCTAGATTGATAATACAAACACCAGGGTTTCCTCAAGCATGCATTGTGGCTGATCTTTTTCTTTTTGTGGAGGCATGACTAGAGCACAAGGGAAGTGTAGGTGGCATTCCCATACATTATGTATCTTGTGGTGGGCATCTTGAAAACAGCCTTTCATGCATTCCAAGCACAATTGCTGTCAATGAGACTGCAGTGTCAGCCACTTTCCTTCAATTTCTGGTACATCTTTTTTACTAACATCATTCATGACCCAGCACATTTCCAGGCTGTTTTGTCACGCCGCACAGCCCAGCTGTGTTCCTCTGTGGCCAGTGATGATGTGACACTGGCCGTGACGCCCCCCGCCTGTCCGTCACAGGGGATGCCCGCCCAGCACGGCCAGTTCCCGTCCAGCAGCACCCAGAACATGATGCAGCGCTCGGGTGAGTGCGGCTCCGCCCGCCGTGCGCCCGCCGCGCCGCCTGGTGGCCGCCTGACACGGGGCGTGCCATGCCGGCTCGGTGGTAGTTGTGGGCGGTCAGATGCACTCGGCGGTGTTTTCGATTTAGTACGTGCCGTTTTGGGGGGGGGGGGAGTTATAGGCTCTTGTTTGAAGTCGCTGCAGGGACGAAGTTGAAGATCTAGAAGGCCATGTCGTGATGGGCGCCTGTCTCGTGTCGTCGTGGAGGCCTCCTGTGACACCTGCCCCTGGTGGCCGGCCACGCGCTAGCGGCCCCTTGTTGCAGATGACAGAACGCTACGCGACGTTTTACGCTATAGCGTTATAACGTTATAACGCTACGCCCCTCTGGTCTAACCTTCCGGCGACATTTCTTCACAGGGGGCAGCATGGTGCAGAACCAGTACCCGCCGAGCCGGGCGCCCGCCATGCCTAGCGGCGGAAAGCGCTCCTCGGACGCGCGCGCTGTCTCCAGCCAGCCCATGAAGAGGTAGGCTCCTTCGGCCCGCCGCTGTCTGCGCGGTCCGCGCCCACGCGGCTACAGGACCCACCGGGTGGAATGTGAGGCAGTGCATGGTCTCACGGCTCCTGACCGCATCATGTAGTGCGTGCGTGCGTGCGTGCGTGCGTGCGTGCGTGCGTGCGTGCGTGCGTGCGTGCGTGCGTGCGTGCGTGCGTGCGTGCGTGCGTGCGTGCGTGCGTGTGTGTGTGTGTGTGTGTGCGTGCGTGCGTGCGTGCGTGCGCGCGCGCGCGTGCGTGTGTTGTGTGTGGCTCGCGTCGTGAGGAGGTGGTGTAGTCTGGTCTGGAGTTGCGGACTGCGGCACGACTGGGTGCGGTGTGGACGCTGCGCTGCTGTGTGCCTGGATCTCGAACGAACATGTCAGTGCACCACGTCGTATGTGTAACGCGCTGGTACTTACCTGTGGGTGGCTGCGCGCGTCGTCTCCTCATGGGCGGTTGTGTCAGGCCGAGCTCCGCCCTACGCGTGATGTGGGAGAGGTCCGAAGGTGGCCAGAAGCCCGCCGGCAGGACGCCGGTCCACTCCTGTGACCCGCGAGGCCGCTCGTTGCGCGCCCGGACTGACACTGCGCCGTCTGCCGCTGCAGCGCCAAAAAGAAGAAGCGGATGGCGGACAAGATCCTGCCGTGGAAGGTGCGTGACTTGGTGCCCGAGTCGCAGGCCTACATGGACCTCCTGGCCTTTGAGCGCAAGCTGGACGCCACCATCATGCGCAAGCGGCTGGACATTCAGGTAGGACGTGCAGTGTTCATCGGCGTTGTGAAGGCAGCGACGTCAGCAGTGCATCCTGCTAAACGGTCGGGTGTAGCTTTGTCAATCTTACAATGGTCTTCGAGTAAACCCATGATGCCATCCCTAGCACCGGATGAAGGACGAGAACCCTGCCATCGAAAAGCTCCCGGACTGCATTCCCACGCCAAACATTTCGATAACTACGCAGTGTGGGTTGAATTTGGCACACTCATTGGTTACTCATCGGTTTTTCAAGTCACCCTTTTTGCCTGAATCTTACTCGCCTGGGGCCTGCTATTGTGGCTGCTCTTCATTGGCTGGCAACATTTTTGGCAGCAATGCTACTACCTCGTCCTATTCATCCCATAGGAGCAGAGTCTGTCCCCAGAGCACCGACCGTGGCTATAATCGTCATCCACTGTAACTCAGGTGGTGTCAGAGCAGTCCGGAGTAGCACCTGTCACGCATCCACCCGTCCAGCACGGCGTTCATCTTGTGCCGCGAGTTTAACTGTCCTCCGGCGCTCGCGTAGGAGGCACTGAAGCGGCCGCTGAAGCAGAAGCGGAAGCTGCGCATCTTCATCTCCAACACGTACTTTCCGGCCAAAGAGCCGGTGGACGGCGAGACCGAGGGCAGTGCCTCCTCGTGGGAGCTGCGTGTCGAGGGCAAGCTGCTGGACGAGACCAAGGCCGATGCCAGCAAGGTCAGTGACGTCGGCCGGGTCGGGGACGAGACCAAGGCCGATGCCTGCAAGGTCAGTGACATCGGCCGGGGCGGGGACGAGGCTGAGACGAACGTGGTCAGACGTAGTGGCTGAGGGTGGGAACAAGGCCGAGACGAACATGGTTAGACGGAGTGGTTGAGGGTGCGGACGAGGCCGAGACGAACGTGGTCAGATGTAATGTCCGGGGACAGGGACGAGGCTGAGACGAACATGGTCAGACGTAGTGGCTGAGGGCGGGGACGAGGCTGAGACGAACATGGTCAGACGTAATGGCTGAGGGCGGGGACAAGGCTGAGACGAACATGGTCATACTCAGCGGCCGGGGTGGGAACGAGGCTGAGACGAACGTGGTCAGACGTAGTGTCCGTGGGTGGGGACGAGGCTGAGACGGACATGGTTAGGCGTAATGGCTGAGGGTGGGGACGAGGCTGAGACGGGCATGGTTAGGCGTAGTGGCTGAGGGTGGGGACAAGGCTGAGACGAACATGGTCATACTCAACGGCCGGGACGGAAACGAGGCTGAAACGAACGTTGTCAAACGTTGTGTCCGTGGGTGGGGACGAGGCTGAGACGAACATGGTTAGGCGTAGTGGCTGAGGGCGGGGACGAGGCTGAGACGAACATGGTCAGACGTAGTGGCTGAGGGCGTAGTGACTGAGGGACATGACCAACGGCACACCCATCTTCAGCCCAGCGATGCAGACGCGCTGGGTGTCCCGCGCCCTCCCTGGCACTAGCAGTGGCTGCCCGCCGGAGCCGGCACGCTGGTGTCGCTGTCCGGAGCGGGACACGGCACCCGGCGCCTCCGCACCTCGCCACTCGAGGTGTTCAGGTGCATGTGAACATTCGCGGCCTAGCCGTGCCGTCGCGGCATCGTAGCGTAAGCCGTACCCCCTGCCATCCTGCTCCATCCCACCTCGCTGTGTCAGACGTTGGCTCTGTGTGTTTGCACGCCTGAGCCTGACGTCACCACTGACCGACCCGCTCACTGCAGTAGGGCCGCCTCCTTCCAACCGGAGATGCGCCCACCGACCCAGTCACCGCAGGAGGGCTGCCTCTCTCCAGCCGGAGATGCGTCCACCGACCCAGTCACTGTAGTAGGGCCGCCTCCCTCCTGCCGGAGAAGCGCCCACCGACCCGCTCACTGCAATAGGGTCGCCTTCCTCCAGCCGGAGATGCGCCCACCCACCCAGTCACTGCAATAGGGCTGCCTCCCTCCAGCCGGAGATGCGCCCACCCACCCAGTCACTGCAATAGGGCCGCCTCCCTCCAGCCGGAGATGCGCCCACCCTCGCAGTCACTGCAGTAGGGCCGCCTCCCTCCAGCCGGAGATACTCCCGATACAATCGCACCGACTCCGCCGCGCTGAGCTGACGTCACTGTCCGCAGACCAAGCGCAAGTTCTCGTCCTTTTTCAAGTCGCTGGTGATTGAGCTGGACAAGGACCTGTACGGTCCGGACAACCATCTGGTCGAGTGGCACCGGACCGCCACCACGCAGGAGACCGACGGCTTTCAGGTGGGCGTGGCCTCACCCCGGGGGCGGCACCAGCGCTACTCAAGGAGGGAGTGCCTGTTGCCTGGCGACGAGTCGTTTGTTGAAGGGGGTATGCCACCTTTTGGTACTGTTCACGTATTGTTAGATCAGGTGCGAACAATTTGATCAGTTATACCAGTTTTCTCGAAATCCTTCCAAGTACCTCAGAATTCGGTTTTGAAGTTGCCCACCCTGCAGGAGAAATGTTATGGAACGCGCTGCTTGCCACTTTGAAAGTAATGCATTTAATTTCCATTACTTTTCCAACTTGTTTACTCTGTAATGTTTGCAACACATTAATTTGTCAAAATATTTGTGTAATAAACGCTACGAAAGATTAAAACACTTCGTTTAAACACAACAAAAACAAAAATGCGAACATGAAGGTTGTATCCCGCGAAGTCAACGAAACGTTATACCGTGGTTTCGATTTCTCTCCCCCCCCCCCCCCCACATGGCCTTTACCACAGGGACTCTTTTCGAGGCGCACTTTGGGTTTGGGAATGGGAGTATCACATCGTACATAGTGACGCACTGGTTCAAGCTTTTGACCAATGCTCCTATCTGTAACAGGCCATTGCCGCCCGCTGGGGTGCCAACGGCGGTTGTTTTGACGACGGCGGTTGTGGCAACTGCAGGGAAGAAGCGTAGTGCTGTTACGAAGCGTTGGCAGCATAATTTGGACTCGGAAATAATTAAAAGTGGTATCATTATGACGTCTTGACGTTCATGCAGTGGTGTTACCCGGTGCTTTTATTAGACGCAACTGGTCCTGGAGTTTCACTAGAGTATGCTTTTTCAATGTGCTTCAAAGGTGTTGCACTTCCTTTAACCAAAAGCTCGGCGTACAGTTGCCGCATTTTTGTGCATCGTTATGGAAATGTCCGTAGCTTTTTAGGCGCATGCCGTTTGTCGCTGGCGTGCTGCACACTGTGTGGGTGCCCCGCCTCCGTGGTGTTGCGTCGTGCCGTTCCGCTGACGGCAGAATGACCTAACCTGACCTGACCCGACCCGACCCGACCTGACCCGACCTGACCTGACCTGACCTGGCCATGACTGTTCCGTGCAGGTGAAGCGGCCCGGCGACAAGAACGTGCGCTGCACGATCCTGCTGCTGCTCGACTACCAGCCGCCGCAGTTCAAGCTGGACTCGCGGTTGGCGCGTCTGTTGGGCGTGCACACGCAGTCGCGGCCCGTCATCACGCAGGCGCTCTGGCAGTACGTCAAGCACAACAAGCTGCAGGTGAGAGCGCGCGGCGGATCGAGGTCACCTTCGCCGGGGGTCCGTGCACGCCGGTTGCCAGGGGTTTGATGTGGGTTGTGTCACTGGACTGGCCCCAGCTGACTGTGCAGGGTGAGATGTAGTTCCATACATTTTATCTCATAGATCTTGTATGTTATAGCATCATATAGGCGTGTGATAGGTGGTAAAGAACTCTTGTTAAAATAATCCAACCAATCGCTTTTTGCAGATTTCGTTTGAAGATTTAAATTGCACTTCATGGCTTCAAACATGGCAACATTTCATGGGATGCAAAGGAAGTGGTTGGTAGTATTGGATTTGATATGGTTTGAAGTAGCTACTTTTGGGAAGGACAAAACAGGACAGTATAGGCTAGACTAGGATGAACAAGATGGCATAATATAAGGTAGGACAAGACGGGACGGGGACGGGAGAAGCGGCGCAAAACATTGAAGATCAAGACAAACTGAGCAGGGTGTGACATTACAGGACAGAAAGTGGACATGGTCTGAAACGACAGGACGGGACAGCGCCTGACCAGCTCCCTCTGTCTCTCTGGCCGGGCAGGACCAGAGCGAGCGGGAGTATGTCAACTGCGACCGGTACCTGGAGCAGATCTTCCAGTGCTCGCGCATGAAGTTCGCGGAGATCCCGCACCGGCTCAACTCGCTGCTGCACCCGCCCGACCCGATCGTCATCAACCACACCATCACCGTCGAGGGCGCCGAGCAGAAGAAGACCGCGTGCTACGACATCGAGGTCGAGGTGCGTGCCGCCATCCCGGCCGCTCCCGGTTTGTTTGTTTGTGTTCGCCTGTTTGTCCCATTCCCCGAGCTGGCCGGCTGGCGTGACAGCGTGGCGACGGGAGACCGGGGCTGTTTCATCAGCGTCGGAGACGCAGGCAGGTCCCCCTCGGCGCTGAGCTGGACCAGGCTGTTTGTGTTCGCCCTTTTGTCCCATTCCCCGAGCTGGCCGGCTGGCGTGACAGCGTGGCGACGGGAGACCGGGGCTGTTTCATCAGCGTCGGAGGCGCAGGCAGGTCCCCCTCGACGCTGAGCTGGACCAGGTTGAACTTCGCGGTCCGCAGTGGCCGACGCTTTCAGGGACCGTTGATTCATGGCTGCATGTTTCGTTACGCGCTGCTTGTGTAACCACAATCACTACATTGAATCTCGCGCGGCAGATTCTGCCGCCATCAGTGCAATGTTATGGTCGTTTTGTCCGGCATGTAGTCAATGGATTCGTGCGCACCTGAAGTTGCGTTCGGTGTGGATGATCCTTTTTCAGTTGGGGCCGCGCCACCGCCCTCGCCTCCCCCACTCTTCGGGTCGGCGCCCAGTTGAGGGGCGCCGAATGGCCTGACTGGGCGCGGCTGTATCACGGCTGGCTCGGGTGCTGAGGCTGCGCCGTCTCGCTGCAGGTGGACGACACGCTGAAGACGCAGATGAACAACTTCCTGCTGTCGACGGCCAGCCAGCAGGAGATCCAGAGTCTGGACAACAAAGTGCATGAGACAGTGGAGCTGATCAACCAGTACAAGATCAACCGCGAGTTCTTCCTCAGCTTCGCCCGTGACCCGCAGCAGTTCATCAACAAGTGGCTCGTCT